GATGGATGGATGGATGGATGGATGGATGGATGGATGAATCGATGGATGATTGAAAGGAAAAAGAACTACATAAAGTCTTACCAGATATTGTTTTCTTTCCTTGCTTTCCTTTCCTTCTCACATGTAGAGATGTGCTTCCTTGAAAAGTATATGAAAACGTAGATAAAACTACTTTTTAATATAACTTCTGAAGTAAAAAGAAACTAAAAAATATATAAATGCTTCCAAATAACGTAACTAACTGATAAAAACAGTTTGAAATGCATGGTGCTCAAAACAGCTTCATATAAAAATCATGTGATATTCCTCGTGTTTGAAAAAGTCTAGATTCGCCCTGATTGTCTGACAGAAAAACTGAAATAGCAATCAAGCATTAATATCGTTAAACATATTGYCTTGTGCGTAATCCCTGCTAGATATATCGCTAAATTAAAAAAGATGTTGAAAGCCAAACAACCTATATCCGATATCTCAACATTGCTCGTGATCTTTACTAGACTTCGTTAGATTCAGTCTCGATTTCTTATCACCTTCGAGAGAATTCAACTTATGTACGATAACGATCTTGAAAAGAAATCAAAGTCCAGCTTGAACAAGTCACAGGTAAATGAGAAACTCCATTACAATTTGAACTCTCTTTCTTGAAGCTTGTCTTTCAAGGATTTAGATAAATTAATGACTGCTCTAGCTGGGCTTGCGATGACAATGACAATGACGTTTCTTGTCTATTCTTGGTCTAATGTGGTTTGACCTGCACTGAGCTAACGGCTAAATATACTGGACGACGGCTACTATTCATATACACTGGCACAAATCATTCATATGCATGAAAAATGGTATTTAAGCGATGTTGTCTTTACTGAAGACTTATTTTGTATTTCATTCAAAAGAAAGTAAATGAAGTAGTAAGTTTAAAAGTTCAGCATTGTTTATTTCGAGTTTTCTCTCTCGACTAAAAGTTGTTTTCTAATTTAGATAATTGCATGTTGTTTTTTAAAAGAAAATATCTTTCCTGTAAAAACGTTTTTATAACTCTATATTCCTGGTTTTTATTTATTTATTTTTTTTAACTATCCTCGCTTGCTTGAGTATGAATTGTATCCAAATTAACTTTTGTCTATTGAAAATCAAATTATGTTTTCTTAGAGTTCATGTATAATTGCTTTTCTTTTGTTCTCCGTATCCGATATACTCTTGTTAGTTAGCGTAGTCTATTATTTCTGGTCCTTTTGAAAGCGAAAACACCATGAAAAAACAAAAACACATGAAAACAATGTAATGAAAACATATGGAGTTTTTCTAAATATATATTCTCAGTGTCGTATATACTGATTTGCACAAGCCAYAGCCTCAAAAGATAACTCAGTAAGCTGTATGAATAACGCATATTAAAAAAATATCGTTTTAGATTGTTACAGGAAAGAATTAAAAGCTTTTTAAGGAAATGCGACCTAAGTAAAAAAAAGCTGTACTATCTTCTAATTATGTCGGTTATATTGAACTTCTGTTTCATGGAACATCTCATGATTGACAGATACGCCAAAAGGAAGAAGCAACTCCAAAACTAAAATATAACCTCGTTCTGCGTTTAAGAAAAAGAAATATATAATGATAAACAGTTTCATGTCTGCCATTTTGTCAGCTCAGTGATCTGAGAAAAAATATAAGCCAACCATTAGCGAGAAAATTTTCAAAACTGAGGTGTCGCTTTTCTTCTTGAAGTTATAGATTTTCACGGGCCACCAAATAAATTTAAAAAGCGTTGGTAATAAGTGCTTGATAACAATGACCCAATAATAAATGAGTTTTATATTTTCATTGCAATGGAAGGCATGTATTTATTTCGTTTCGATGGTCAAAATTTTCACCGACTTCGAGATGCATGAGAGGGTGCCAGTGGGGCTAATCAATTGTCGGCCGAATATCTGTTCGCTGTATTAATTTAGGAGCGCTGGCCATAATATTATCCAAAATAATGAAATATCATTTAACCGTTAACTATTAAATTTAGGTTAATTTTGTCAGTGAACTACTATTTTTTGGCAACTGTCACTTTTAATTACTAACCCTATTGGCACCCTCTCTATACAGTACGTCATTCCTACGTCACTATCTCAGATCCGATGGTGCCTTAATTAAGCTAGTTTTTTCTTGTCTTGTCTTGTCTTGTCTTGTCTTGTCTTGTCTTGTCTTGTCTTGTCTTGTCTTGTCTTGTCTTGTCTTGTCTTGTCTTGTCTTGTCTTYTCTTGTCTTTTCTTTTGAGGGTCCCGTTGGCATTGTATTGAATCACAGCGTCTGTTTACCCTTATGCACAATGCCATAACTTACCACTCTGAGATGGATGGATGGATTGTCATCTGCTTTCCAATGTTAAAAATAACTCCAACTCAACTTCAGACATATCATTATCATCTGCCATCCCCCAGGCAATGCAATCTGACCAAATATCAAATCCATTCTAATTCCCAACCAACCCTTGCAACCCCCCAATTTCATCAACACGGTCAATCGATTACGAACGAAAATATGATCAGTATCAACTTAACTCATCAATACTCATTAAGGTTACCAAATAATAATATTACGAAACAAAAACTTTAACTTAATTTCTAATAAAAAAAAATTCTGCTTCAATACGAGCTGAAGAATTTTAAAAATCAAGTTTTACATAAGTATTCGTGTAAGCATGCAATTTAATCAACTAATTTTAAAAAGCGTTAAAATTATCTCATCCTATGCATCTAATTCAGTGCAAGAACTTTGTTATAATGAATTTTTTCTATTTTTGGTTTTAATTTTAATCATTTTCCCTAGATGAAAATTGTTTTAGTATATACCACCAAGGTGGTATCAAAAATGTCAGTCTATTGATCGTTTTCAACCATTCCCAAGAGAATTAAATAACAAAAGACACGGCGGCCATGTTGGAGGATATAACAAAAGTATTCATTGACAATTCTTTTGTTATGTTCCTCCAACATGGCCGACGTGAAAACCATCAATTCCTTCAAAACATGAACCATATTTCAAGGTGTCTTCGTTCAAAGCCTTTAAAAGCCCTTATAATCTCGGTGTCGTGTGGCTATAGCTCGAATCTAGCCACGAAAGTTTTTTTACTGTGGTGGCTAAATAGGGGTTCGAGGTGTTTTTTTTTCCGAATTTTGAACTGGCAAATACGTTTTCAACCCGGTATTTCCCCATCATTAATATGCATTCAAATTGTGATTGTCATCAGTTAGTGCATGAGAAAACGTTTTTGAACATACCATGATATATAAAGCCCACACACGTGCAAACGGAGCAACATTATCGACATTATCGTACGATGACAATGATGAACTACCACACTTGAACAAACATAAGCTATGTATTGAGGGGGAAATTTCGAATAATATTAAAAACCACTTTGTTTTTTTATATTATTTTCGTAGTTTCGAACTATTATTCAGCTTAGTTTCGACAAGGTAGCAATAATAATAATGATAATAATAATAATAATTTTATTTAAATAAACCTTAATAGTCTATGCATGTTTTAATAAAATACACTCGCTCCAAAGCTACTAAAGTTCCAATGCTTAATATTTTAAGATAATGATAAACAAAAATAAAATGAAAAACTATAGGATTTAAGTTCATAATCTCAATACCATTATAATGATAATATATATATACATATATATATACAGTCGATCCCAAAAACGTTGTCCAAGTGAAAAGAGGTTTATAGGACAATAAATGTCACGTGTCTCATTAAATATTCGGTTTTACGCGCGTGTGGAAATAGGAATCTGAACGTGCTGCATCACATGCGTGGCAGAAAATGTCGACGGCGGGTAATTCAAAACAAGTTCTTTCGACTTTAGAAGTTCGGGTTTTGGACTCCAAGAAGAAGTCTAGCTACGTTGTAAGAAGCTTACCCAATTTTCCAGTGTTAGAGACCGTTTCAGAGCTACGTTCTGAGCTAGTGAAAGCCTTACCAGACTTAGAGAACGTTCTGCAAGACTGAGTAATGAGTAATGAGCAAACCAATCTGCACGTACCATACCTTCTTGCGCTTGAATCCAAGCCTGTGGACCGTTCTGCATAATGTTTGGGCACTAAAAGCAGAGCCAGTTGTATTGAATATTTTCGACGCTATTTCATTCAATTGCATTTCAGGATGTTCTAGAAGACACTCGATGACGATATACTCTTCATGCGGAAAAAGTGTTCCTRTTTGAAGAGGTCGACCGACGGGCCAAGGATTAATGTCTCCACTAGTGTAGACGTCCGTTTGAACGTTTTAGGACTTACAAACAGATTAGCGKCTATCTCCTGGTATGTTTTTGCATAAAACAAATGTTGGTATACCATTCTCCACCTTAAATCATCCGAGAAAGCCCACGGCATCTTTCAGATTCAGTTTTCAATACTGCAATTTACTTTTGCACCAGTATGCTAATTGAAACTGAATATTTAATGAGACACGTGACATTTATTGTCCTATAAACCTCTTTTGCCTTGGACAACGTTTTTGGGATCGACTGTATATAATTTGTGATAGAATTCAATGAACTATTAATAATAATAATAATAAAATTTATAATAACGTTGATAAAGAGATTATGAATATAAAATAACAAAATAATATACGTACAAATTACTTATTTATCGATAGAAACATATTTGTAAAATATAAAAAACAAATAATAATAATAATAATAATAATAATATGTTGAGTGAATAAAGAAAGTGTAAATACAGGTATTCTACTATGATAACATTTTATTCGAATAATACTTTAAAAAAACCGCATCACTTATATCAAGTACCCTGCCTTCATATTAAAACTACAAATAAATAAGATGAAAAATGTACAAAAATTAGCATGTATGTATATTAGTAAATATTCATGTGTTTGTTAAGTATTGTTTTATTGAACTTTCAGTTATTTGAGTTTCGCTATTTTTTCTTTCCAGCACTAGCTACGCCAATCTATACTTTCGCAATATTCAACCATGCTGTATAACAAGTTATAACCCCTCTACGTCTCTTTCTTTCTCTTTTGGTGTACAAAGATGTACTGCCGGAAAGCCAAAGCTCGACAATTAAGGGTTTTTGCTTTTCTTACCATTACTCTAAACAGTTTTACACAAGAAGAGATAACTAGCTAAAAACTAGTGTGAG